GATCAATGAACTTAAACCCGATCGAACATCTGTGGGATGCCCTGGACAGACGGGTGCGACGCCGTAACCCTCAGCCCCAGACACTTCAGCAACTCGCACAGGCACTACAGGCAGAATGGGCTGCGATTGGGCAACACGAGATTCTGAGACTTATTCGTTCGATGCCGAGGCGATGCCGTGCAGTTCTGGATGCCCACGGTGGTCACACGAGGTATTGACTTCAGCGCCACCACACGTCTCAATGTGACACTCAAACTGACTTTCCTCGAGTTGGTACCCAAGACGGATAAGTCTGCATTCCCAGTGTGCAATTTCGCTATATTTCATTGACTCATAAAGCCTACAAGATGTTTCAAAATAAACATAAAAATACAGTTTAAATTCCTATATGCGTTTCTTTTTTGGGAGAGTATATAAACAATACTCGGAAAACTGCTTTTATCTTACCTAATGAAATTTTATGTTCTGAAAGTGCCAAAACCTGCCATAGTATTTTGAAAAAGAGAGAATATGTTTTATATCAGTAACGTGTACTAATTAGGTTTTATCGTAAATACCTAAATAAAATCTCTCTCTATCTGCATTATTTCGTCTTAATGTGTAAAACATAATAATCTGAACGATAATAATAGATGTCCTTGCCTAGTGGCTAGGAGCCTTAATATCTACAAATGTGAGTAAAGCTCACTAATAACCCCGACTCCCAACTTCAGCTGTACGACAATTTATAAGTTGATTATTCTTGACAAAAATATCTTCTGGCCCAACACAATCCCAAACCAGCAACTGCTAACATCCTGCAAAATGGAAAGTATAAATACCATCCTAACCATAAGAAAATGGAGATGGATTGGCCATATACTCAGGATGGAGCCCGGCGATATTACACACAGTGCTTTACACTGGACCCCAAAAGGACGACGGAAGCAAGGAAGGCCAAATAACACCTGACGGCGCACAGTGGAGAGTAAATTGAAGGCCCTATTGCAACACCTAGCCCTGAACAGACAAGAGTGGCCATCCTTTGTTGAAGCCCTGCACGTCGAAGGACGTAACAGGGATAAGACAGTAGGTAAAAAAGTAAGTTATTCTTGACAAATATATCTATACCAAACTTTGCACTGCATCTTTCCTATAAACAAAGAAGCAATTGCCCATATCTGAAAACAATCCACTGAATGATTGTTAAGTTATATTGCTTAAACAAATTTGATGTGGATATTTTTCCCGAGTTCAAAGAGATGTAATTAGTGATAATCCTCAATAAACAACAAATATCAATAATGTAACTTTGCACTGGACTTCTCCTATAGATATGGTGAGAACGTGATCCCCAAAAAGTTATTGGTTGAACTATAATTATTCTTTACGATTTTTACGTTCAAAATATGTTAATAGACGCATTGTTTCAAAATTTAGCAAATCGGAATCAAACTTCGCACTGCACTGCACGTTAGACAAAGAAGCTGTTTTTCGAATTTGAAAACACTTTGACCAATACGTTTCAAGTTATTGGTTGAATAAACTCTTTATAGCTCAAATACTTAAATTGCTGTAATTAATTAAAAAATAGAAATATCATAATCAAAACATGTCTTCGGGCAGAAGGACGGAATAAATCTCCACTATACCCTGGATGCATCTACGGCTCGAGCCGATTATTTTATTATCTCCCTTTGCTGCTCCGCATTCTCACATTAGCCAATCAGCTAAGCCGCCGTTACAACAGCTAGCATGCCAGTGTCAACAAAGATATAGCGGTCGCAGCCGCGAAAGTTTGTTAGCAGTGCGACTCAGATTTGGAGGAAAAACATACAGACAAACTGACAGGTCTAAAATCTTAAAAAAATATATGCAAGAACTCCTTCTACCTCTTTAGGAGTACCTCTGCAACAATATATTATAGTGTTTAATCGGTTAGATAATTTACAAAGCGAAAGTGAGTTTTGAATGGTACGCTCAACTTCCCAGCGTAGACACCTGATTGGATAAAAAACCAACCAAGGGAGGTAATAAAATCATCGGCTCGAGCCGTAGATGCATCCAGGGTATAGTGGAGATTTATCGGAACGTTTACCCTGGAGATTATCGAGGATATGTAGGATGTCGCGTCAGCTAACCTCTGAGCAACCTATGGCCGTCCAATCAAACGCGAGACGGCCGAAGGGATTTAACCAATCAGAAAATGGCTACCTATTAGGGTCCGGCGGGACTATACAAAATGTTTTTTGGATTTTCTTTTACCGGGTCGCTGACACTGATCTCTCAACAAACGAAAACCCGCATAAAACACAGATATTTGACCTGCAGTATATACGCTTAGAGGTTTCTTTTTACTTGGTGATTAAGTAAGTGTTTACATATGTAGCCCACGGGGGTGTGGTGGGCGAGCTGGCAAAAGCGCCAGGCTAGTGATCCAGCGATCCTGAGGTGACGGGATCGAGCCCACCTGTGACCGGGTGTAAAAACCTTGGAGTCAACTTTGCGTTGTCACAACCCTTAGTGTACAGTACACAACCCTGTGCACTTAAAAGAACCCACGAATCCGTTGGTATATGACCAGATGGTGGCCACATGAATACGTGCAAACACCTAGTTGCGGGTACAGCAACGTACAGTGAACTTGGACAAAGTATTGTGACTATGTGTCCCAGTGCACCCAGCTGTGAATGGGTACCTCGTATGGATGAGAAAGCCGCAATAACTCGGTGCGCCTAGTGGCTGCAAGAGTTGTGTGCTCCCCGGGGAGTTGAGATTGATAATACGATGTGCCGATGATATTGACATCCAGTGATCTAGGGGAAAAAATATCAGCGCCTTGAGCATGTACTAGAAACATGGATATATAAATGCGCTATATAAATATCCTATAATATTATAAAGAAATATATGACATATATCTTCTGGCTATCATCGGTGTAACAATACAGACGATGAAAAGAGGATTGCGACATAATTGTATTGGAAAAATAATGCACGACGTTCCAAGACCCCAAGTGTGTCTGTCCGAGTGAGTTGGTGTGTCTGTCCGAGGGCGTCTGTTTGTCTGTCCGAGGGAGTTGATGTATCTGTCCCAGGGAGTTGGTGTGTCTGTCTGAGGGAGTTGGTGTGTCTGTCCGAATGAGTCAGTGTCTCTCCAAGGGAGTTGGTGTGTCTGTCCGAGGGAGTCGGTGTGTCTGTCCGAGGGCGTCTGTTTGTCTGTCCGGGGTAGTTGATGTATCTGTCCGAGGTCTGCAAAACATATACACCATGTAAAGACCATGAGGATAATTTCGATCATAATCTATTTGACAAACCGGAATTCATTAATATTGATGAGAAGTGCAATATACAAATATGTTCTTCCAAAGATGGTTTTATACGTGGCTGTGGCGCCCACCATTACGATTCTTGCATGTGGTCATGCTATTAGACAGACCATTTTGTCGTCTGTCTGTGTGCACTCCTGGCGACAGTGGTGCCATGTACATGTGTCATCAAGGGTGGCCCCATGGAGATATCCATCATCTTCAGGATAATTCCTTAAAATACGTTATACTTTGGCTCCACGACCTCCATCGGTCTTATGTTTCATTGCCGATTATTGACTAAGCCAACACCAAATATATTTATTACTTTGCTTCTCCCGCTCTTACTTCACAAGTGGCTCTCTCGGCACACACAACATTTCCAAAGCGATAAAAACACAAAGACACAATGACGACAGTACTTTTGATAGAAGCGCATTTTGTTCTGCTTGTGGGGCATACTCTGTCTGAATCCGGATAATCTGTGTTGGACATGAGAATATTGAGACATTTCCCATGTACAGTGAACTGCCTGTGTGCTTGACAGGATTTTGTTTGCGTCGAACTCTGTGTTTTAGAAATCAGGCAAAAGTACAAGAAAAGTTTAAGAGCTTATTCACAGGTTGAAAGACGGAGAGTGTGCGCTTTAATAGCTCAACACAGCCGCAAGAGTATAGGGGAAGTTTTCAAAACCGCGGTAGATGAGAAACTACCCAATAATATTACGAAATGAATTTTGAGTCAGTGATAGGAAAAGTCTTCTATTATCTGAAACTATTATTTTACCAAGAGAAATATTTATTACCATTGCCTCATGTTAGGTGCAGATTTTGCTCTATAAATGTACAATATTTATGATCATAAGTAAGGTTATGCGACAGCACTTTGGTGTATTACCGGATAGTCTTTATGCATGGAACAATCTGACCTGTCACCGATGTGGTTTTGCGCGATCTCACTAGAACAGTTTGTTGACATGTGATCATCCAGCTAAATATATATACATTATACATTTTCTGTCAAATACACTTAATTTCGATGCGTGAGTAGACGCTATATGATAGTGATTGTTGTGAAGTGATAAGTAACAAAGGGACACACGATTTCAACGATCTTGAATGACATTTTCAGTAAAACTATTCACAACCTATGAGTTTGGAATTATTATTATTTCCTTTTGAGGAAATATTGCAACAGTTGCAATATTGCAACATTTTGAACAAGCGACTGTATAGAGGGGATGTTTTTTTTCTTGTTTCATCTTTTAATACTTTCACCATTCCTTTTCGCGTCTGCAACAGCAAAAATGCGACATATATTTAAAAACATTTTTATCGTAAACAGTGAAACAGACTATAACTAGTTCTGACTCATCACGCTCGGATTATTGAGAGGTTATGGCCATGACAATATAAATAGAAATATATGCTTCCAAAGGCAGATGTTACTCTTAATGTTTTTGAATCGAATCTGATACCCTTATAACATATATAATTTTAGATATTTCACAGGGGCTCCTAAAACATCGTACACGTGTTAGGCTGACAATTGCCGTATGCGTGGATTGCCTATGACGTATCACGATGAACAGATATTAAATCGGTAACGCTTAAACGATGACGAAATGTCAAAATATTGAAGGCAGCGTGTCTGGTGTAAACTTTGAAACACACAATAGTAATAATTTATACGAGAGACTTAGCATTACCTCCCCTTGTGCATTAGAGGGCGTTGATGGATGTTTTGACGTCAAAGGATGCTTAACATATCGTCGGGTTGACACTTCTGGTAAGAAATTATAATTTTCCACCTATTTCCAATTTTGTTACTCCATTTTAAATTTACTTTGACATTGTCGACAAATTAGGGTCTTGTGTTTGGATAGGATCATGAAATCAGTTCTCGACGTGGTGGAACATAGCCTTTTAAGCCGAGTGCAGACGATCGGAATGGCCATCAGCTTTCGGGTCGTTTCTACATCTAGTATTCTACATGTCCATATTGAGTAAGGAATGGGGTGAAAAAGCATTTTCGTCTTGAGTTCCAGTTTAGTATGTCTTTTAATATTTTGTAGGTTTCGTCTTGCCACGCACATAATATATATACGGGGACATATTTTGCTGCCAGAGTGAGACATTCGATGGACAGAAAATGTCCATTACAGTGATGACATTTGAAGAAATGGTGGTCAATAAGACCTACTCTATTGTGACTCAAGCTCAGCTGCATATCGCCCTTGATTTGCCTGACTTATCTCTGATTTCAATATTGGCGATTCTGTGTGATTAGTACATAGCAGAGACTCACGAGACCGTGGAAAACGTTCAATTTACTGCAAGGCTACCTTTCGCTTAACGTGGTTTTAGAAGACAGCTTGTCAGTATGAATAATATATATCTGCTCGAAGACATGCAGTTCTGCCTTATGATTAGGCTTTGCAAAATCCGTTGTTGTACATTGCTATTCCAATCTACTATCCACACCGCACGGGTCCATTTAGCCTGCAGACATGATCCAACATGGCGGACATGGGGTTCTTCATTTTGGTTACTTTCTTAAGAAGAAAGTCCATATATCAATGAAAAACTGTTTTTTCCTATCTTGCTATGGTTATCAAAAGTCACCCACCACCTGACGAAGAATGACTTTCTACCAAAATTGCTCACTATTTCTCATTTACCCACACATTTCTTTCTTTTCACTTCAGTGAGTACCCTTTTCTGTTTAGATAAATTCCCTCAAAATGCAATTCCTGCTAAACAATGCTTTCAAGGACTGAATTAGTCCTCGAATTGATTTCATGTGGTATGCCATCCAAAGGGCTCAAGCTGTTTTTCTTGATTATCATCTGTCAATGATTTTCTGCTTACATTTCTTGAGAAGTTAACTCTACTCATTTTGATTACTAACCCATGTTCATTGACCATTCAGTATCAGATGATGTGCAGATGAAATCTCCAATAACATCACATGATGAAACTGACACGATACCAAATATGGACTGGAGACATGTCATGCTGTGGAGTGTAAACAGGTCCTTTCAGTCTTAGAATTCTGACCCAAAGACCTTTGGTTAACGTAGCCATTTACACCTCATCTGGAGGGTTAAACTGATCTCATCAAATCGGTGTTCAAATCTGTTTTTTTTATCCAAAGGTTATGTTAAAGTTAATTTGCACATATCACTTTCCAGATCACTTTGACATGAAAAGAAATAATATATATATAGTTCATATTATTATTTTATTATTATTTTTTATTATTATAGAATATTTATATAGCGCACATATCCATGCAACTAGTCCATGCTCAAGGCGTCACAGGGGCTTGTCGCGCTTAAAAACACCTTTAGAAAGACATATAGGTATATAGATCCTACCCTAGTACTTTAAAAAGGAAAGGGATGTCATGACGAAACCACCCCGTTCACAATCAAAGGTATATTTCACCACGTAAACTATTTTAAAGGACTCGCTGAGGCCTACGGATCGAAAGCTAGATGATTTCCCTACAAAATGAGCTATAAATGGTCACAATCGGATCATTATTTCAAAAGTTATACGCGACGACTCACCCAAAACAGCTACCTCTGCAATTCCACACCCAAATCATGGACCAGCCAAGACAGTGAAAACTCACCTTTTAAATTTGTTTATTGATTCCAGGCACGTTGACAGCACCTATGTAGGACTAGATTCGATCGGTATTCCATGGGTCTAACAACCTTTTGCAACATCTACATATCATTTCCTTGACAGTAGGCTGTCATTTTCTCCAAAATCATCGGCAGTCATACACACTTGTCGGCCATAGATGACCTTGACATTCAAGTGACTTGAGCAGTAAATTGGTAAGAATAATAATAGAGGTTAAATATTTATAAATATAATTTCCTAAAAATTAATCAATATTAAATGCATTTGTATGACCTCTAAAATTATTCTTACCAATGTACTGTTCCGTACATCATCCAAAATAGAAAGAAATTGCAAAGTTCATATTTCGCGCCCATTAGCAAACGGATAAAATCTTACGGTATGTTTTATTTTCCACTAATCGGATGGCCCGAGTCAGTTTGTGCGGATCTGCTCAGGTCACTTGAATGTCAAGGTCAAGAACATTTAGTCTAAGTTACCTGATTGTGCATGAATATGATTTCTCATGGCTGTTTCAGTTACCTTAAACAATTATTGTCTCTTACGGGTATTAAACTGAATTAGAGTTTGTTAAGTGTATGGTCTGAACCAGCACAGTGGAGCTGCTGACAGAATGTAAACAAACGTAAATTTTTGTTGATATTCGAACATTGATTGTTTGGACTTTGAAATGAATCAGCGTTTGCTCAGCTGACATACAAAATAACCTCAACATATGAAAAAGTGTTTTCAGATGTCAATGTCTAGATCAGCAATGGGTCTGAACATTGATCAAGTGCTGTTTGATATTACTGTTTTGCTACAGCTGTATTGGCACAGTTGTGCATTTGTCCCAGAGTATGCGTCACCAAATTACTGTTATGCTACACTACTTGTCCTTGACACATGGCCTCATTAGCTGGTGTCAACTCTGGCTAATGGCGGTCTGTGGCTGGAAGATGGAATGTCTGGCAACTTCAGACATTTAAGCTTTATTTCAACTGGGTTGAATGTGACAGACTAATCTGTCTTATAGACCCTGAAACAAATATATGCAAGAAAGCCCAGGCAAGTCTAGATTATGTGGCAAGTCTAGATTTCCACAGTTTCTGAAAATGAAGAAAGTTCCTGGGCTCCTTTTCTTTATATTTTATAATTATTTTTTATGAACAGTTTTTTTGTAACATGATCATTTCAGAGACTAAATGTTAGTCTAGTGAGAGATAAACAAACCATTTTGGAATCCTCTTGAACATCAAATGAACTAGCCCAAAACAAAATGTTTTGGTTACATTTTTAGAATTTTGGTAGGTAGGTATGTTTTAGTTATTTTACCTTTTTTAACAACATACGGTATGTTTTAGTTATTTTACCTTTTTTAACAACATACAGTTCCAAAAAGACAAGAAAGATTGGGTAACTGAATGCTATGATCTGTCCCCTACAATCATGTTATGTGTCATTACTAGTGGTGGTCCGATTAATTGAAATAATCGAAGATTGGTCGCAGTGACTAAACGACTAAGCAATCGATCATGTTTTCTCATAATCGAACACAAACAATTCTGGAACACTTGTTTGCATTAACAATATTTTTCACAAGGTAGGTTTTGTCTGTTACATTTCATGAACACTACAAGCTCGTTCCAAGTCATGACTGAATTTATCTTAACGAACCCAAGAAATTTATGTTCCTAACATACTAGTCATCCTTTAAAGATGTGCAATTTGCAAAAACAAAAACCCAAAGAGCTACATGTTTTTTTCTTTGTTTTTGTGCAAACAAAAATAACCAGGAAAATTTCCTAAATGACGCTAACCAATTATTTTCGATGATTGATCGGTTGTAATGAACCAATCATCAATTATGAGTCAGTACATGACATGATTTGTACCTTTTTGAAATTAGTTCATTTAAGAAGCAAAATTTCAATTTCCTTGGGAATGTGCAGTAGAACAAATTGTTGCAATTTGTTATGAATATAGTATTTGTTTTTCCCATGAGAAAGAATCTCACAATATTCCTAGAAAATATTTTATTGTGGATGTAAAAGAGCTCTTAAATCACATGATTTGTAATTGGATTCCCAAACTAAACTATCAAGCATTAAGCTAATGGTGCAACCAATTAGTGGTAAAGGACAAATGTATTCATTGGCTGATCCGTAGGCTTGGTTGCAGAATCTTATCTATCATTTATTTAGTGATGTTTAACAGTTGTATGGATATAGTCACTCAAGAGAAAATCTTGTTTCGCTCTTTCTGCTTTTCCTATGAAAAAACATTGCATTTTTTGTTGACTGTGTAAAACAACCTTTCATGTTGAAATGATTAATGTCTTTAAAGAAAATAATAGTTAATGTCTGAAACCAGCATTTATGGTTAGCATTAGGGGTGACTATTGTGATAGCGATAGTCTATTGCGACCAACTATTGCAATACTATTGCAATAGTTTTTTCTCCTTGAATTGTCTCATTTGAAGTCATTTCCCAAATGAATGTATAGTTTATATGAAATTCATAGTCGGGAGAATTTCAATTGAAAAGTCAATCACAATGACGTCACGAGTCCACAAGCGGGACAGGGGTCAAACGACCATGTCACAAGCTCAATAACGGGTATGTCCACCATCGGCATTGAGAACTGCAGTGCATTGACGACGCATAGAGCCTATCAAACGTGCAAGGAAGGCTTGTGGGATGTCACGCCAGATTCTCTCATGTTCTGTTTCAAGGTCAAGGACGTTATCTGGCGGATGAGGAAGACGGCGTAGACGTCGATCCATCTCGTCCCAAACATGCTCTATCAGGGAGAGATCCGGTGAATTTGCAGGACAAAGCAGCAAGTCAACGTTGTGGTGTTGCAAGAAATCCATAGCAACCCTTGCCGTATGAGGGCGGGCATTGTCCTGTTGGAATGTTAACCCAGGGCCATGACGTTGCAGAAAAGGAATTGCCACAGGTCGAAGAATCTGATCCCTGTAGCCCACACCAGTTAAGTTGCCCTGAACAATCACCAAAGGAGTTCTTTGGCGTGCAGTTATTCCACCCCAAATCATCACGGAACCACAACCAAAGCGATTCCTCTCCAAGACACAGGCCTGTGCATAACATTCTCCCACGCATCTATAGGCACGTTGACGTCCATCACTA